ATGAATAATCCTATTTCTTTCCAGCAGTGATGCAGCTAGCAGCATATATCACACCATAAATGCAAATAATAATTCCTTTTTCCTCTGTCATGTTTTATTTCACATAGGTTGTTATGATGGCTTAGTATATGTGCTTCAAAGCAGTGATGGAGAAATACAGTGGACTTTTGTCACAGAAGACACTGTGAAAAGCTCTGGAGTTGTAGACCCTTCTAGTGGACTAGTCTACATTGGATCACATGACCAACACGTGTATGCTTTGGATATTTATGTAAGAACACTGACTATAGAAGAATAAATATCCAACTTAAACTCTATTTGTAGTACACCAGAGGAAGCTCCACTGGTGTTAGTATTCTTAGGAGTCCACAATCACACTTCTGAAATAGGTCTGCTTGAAATGGGATTAGGATTATGTGGCAGCAGATAGTTTTAGTGGTGTTCTCAACTGCGGTTCTTATGTTACTAATCCTGGTTGAAACCAAATCTTAAGTTTCTTAGTTATTAAATTCACCATGGGTGTTTCAGAATAGGGTGCCTAGCTAGAAATAGAACTATCTATGGCTTTATGACTGGGGAAAGAATCTTACATTCTAAATGGGTAAATAAAGGGAGATGGAAAATAAAAGGGGCAGATACTGCCTTTCCATTAGCCGAATTTCTTTTATTTCCTGGAAGAGAAAGTAGCCAACATATGTGTTGCTCTCGTAGCACATAGGTTATATCTTCACTTCTTAACTAGTGTCTGCTGAGTTAAACACAGTGTTTGATAAGGTTTGACGTGCAAAGGTCTTTGTAAACATGACGAGCTCTAGCTCCAATTGAAAATTGTTTATTAATGTGTTTTCTTGTGCTTACAGAAAAAGGCATGTGTATGGAAGTCACACTGCGAAGGTGGGGCTGTGTTTTCATCTCCTTGTCTAAGTTCTTTTCCACATCATCTCTATGTTGCTACTTTAGGAGGACTACTGTTGGCTGTTAATCCAGTATGTACCTTTGTTTACTTGTCTTTGAGCCCAGTCTCAAATTCAAATGAAACTAAAATGTATATCTGAAGTTAAAATTTCTTTTCTGATGAAAGGAAAGATGACCATATATTACCATAAAATATTTTTCGCCTGGGAGCCTTATAATTATACACAAGGTTACCATAATAATTCCCATGCTTCAGAAAGCTATCTGGTGATAAAGAGAACTGAAATGACTTGCTTGAAATCACATGCTGACTGTAGACCAAAATTGCAGTCAGTGCAGTCAGTCTTCTCATTCCCCTATACTACTTTATCAGGTTGACCAGTGAGCGAGAGCATGTCTGTAGATTTAGTTCCCCCACGCCCTCCCTTTGACAGAAGGATTGGAAAAAACATACGCAGAAATCAGAATAGAATCCAGAAAGAAGCCTCTTCATTCGTTTTACTGTCTGCCTGCCATCGTCATTTAAAGAGCTGTCCCCTTAATCTCAGACTGCAGTTATATTCTTTGCACTGGGAAAATGGTATTCTTAAAAGATGTGGAGCAATTTCATGGTTTTCTGAGGCATTGTTTGTTTACAGCTGGTCCTGCCTGATAAAAGAAACAGTGACTTAAAGCAACTGTTAGCATTTTTGTATCACACAACCCACTAAGCACCTTTACCTCCCACCCACTACAAATGTCCTCAGTAATAATCAATGTAGTATTAGAAAACCAGAGTGTGGTTTTGCGTCCCTAGTGGACTGTGCTTAAGAAAAAAATGGGATTTTTTTACACTGTAATCCAGAGTAACATGTAGTTGAGAAACCCAGCTACAAATGAGCCTGCACATTCTGATTTTTATAAATAACCATAATTCCTGAGGAATTTGCAGGATACGTTAGGAGCATATTGTGACAATCAGACTGTGGGTTGCAGAATTTCCCACAGTATCAATATGACTTCATTAGATATCCTCTGCTTCACTGGTCCATGTCACACATACTGAGGAACTGGGAATGGAGTAAAAAACTGAATTTGGCATTCATTAGAACTACTACTACTACACTATTATCATCGTTACTTTGCCTAGGGGGAGGAAGAAAAGGGCAAAAATGGGTATTGAGTATCCTATGTAAAGCACTAAACATTTTGTTAGAGTAAGATTTGAAGAGTGGTTTTGCTTCTGGTATGCATTCTGGATGGGAGAAGCCTGCTTCTCTTTGATTTTTTGGTTTGTTTTGTTGGTTTGTTTGGAGGTTTGTTGTCGTTGTTTTAGTTTGAGTTTTTGTGGATTTTTTTCCCCACACTTCATAACGGCCGTGTCAGGCCGTGACGGAAGGGTTGTTTTGTGCTGCTTCTTACAATTGTGTTAAGCATCAGATATTCAATGCTGCCACTTACAGGTGACGGGGAGCAAGCTTTGGAAAAGCTTCCTGGGAAAACCACTCTTCTCCTCTCCTCACTGCAATGAGAACTACGTCTGTGTTGGGTGTGTGGATGGAAACTTATATTGTTACACTCATTCTGGAGAAAAGGTAAAAATCGTGTTGTTTTTTTATGTCCATACAAAACCCTGAATAAGATGCTTTATTAATGCTGTTTTCTGAGGTTTAATGGTTGACATATACCTTACTGTGAAACAAATAGAAGTGTATATTGTTAGAGAGGGGAGAAAGCAGAAAAAAGTTTACCTAAGATAATCTATGCAGTTCATGGCAAAACCACAAACTATCAAGTTGCCTGATGCGGTAAGAGAATTTTTAGTCCAGAACTATACTCAGAGTAAATTGTGAAGTGTAGTGCCAGCAAATGAAATGGTTTCATTCGAAATTTTTCAAGCATGTTTAAACCATCTCTTCTGCAAGATGGTTGATTATTCAGAAGCAAAGGTTTCTTAGAATGTTCTATGCATTTATCAAAAAATTGCCAAATCATAATTCTGGCAAAATACGTGTCAGCCTTCACATTGAATTAAATGAGAGTATTTTTTTAGTCCCTTAGAGATTAATCTTGTTTGTATCTTGTGTTAAGACAACTGACACCGTTTCTGTTTGTTGGCCTGACATGCAGTATACATGGCAATTCCTGAACCTTTTCTGATTATAAAATATATGTTAGCTTATGCCCTGCTCTCTGTCTGCTTGCAGTGGTGTTACAGAACTGATACTCTCTTGGGGAGGGATCTGCCCACCATTAGCATGAGCAAAGGAAATCTATATTACAAAAGGAATATCTGCCTTTCTGGCAAAGAATGGCATATTAACAGGATTCTTTAAGTTCATTACTAATTATGGTACAACAGCCCAAGAACATTCTTTTCCCAAAGTGGCCATCTTTATGTGGGCTTCACATAAGATAGTAACTTTTCCCTCTTCCACATCTATTTTATGAGACTTCTATTGCTTACTCTGTGTGTAAAACTTGACTTGTAATTTGACAAGGATTTACCAACCCTCACTGAAATCTAGTACATCTTTGAAATAAAATGCTCTCCTAGACTACAACTAGTCTATTAAAAAGTTATATGAAAAACCTTTGATAATGTGTGGTTATGTTCTTTCTGTAGGTTTGGCAGTTTTCCACTAATGGGCCAGTGTTTTCATCTCCATGCCTCTCAAGTTTAACTAAGCAAGAAATATTTTTTGGCTCCCATGATTGCTTTATCTACTGCTGTAACATGGAGGGTAATTTACTGTGGAAATTTGAAGCCACTTCAAGTGTGTATGGAACACCGTTCATTTTCCAAAGTGATGACTTAAGTAACAAAATTCTTTTGGCAGCAGTATCTACAGATGGCAAAGTGTGGATCCTGAATGCCAAGAGTGGAACAGCAGAAGGAGTAGATAAGCTTCCAGGAGAGGTTTTCTCTTCCCCTGTAGTATGGGGAACAAAGCTTGTTGTTGGCTGTAGAAATGATTATGTTTATTGCCTAGATCTGTATATAACAGGAAAAAAATAACAGCTAAGTTGTTAGGCTGCTTTATTTTTATTGTTTACATTTGTAAACTAAGAACTCACATGTGCCCTCTACCTCTCTGCCTGTTCTGCTGCAGGCAAGAGCTGCTCCTTGCAGGCTTATCAGGTAGCATTTTGCATCAGACAGTGTCCAGGGCAGGCTGTACCGATGGAAGGAGGACGGCTGCTCAGCACCTTCCCAGAGAAGGGAGAATCTGTAGCAAGATGCCATACCCCGCAGCTTGAAATAGCATGCTTGTCTCTGAGGGAGGAATATATTGCTTTCTCTGAGTCCAGCCTAGCCCGTGCCTGGCTCTTCCATTTATCAGGCTAGTGTTTGTCTGGTCTAGCAAGGTATCTGTGCCAAGGCAAGGTAACCCAAGTCATTTTTTGAATCTAACTTTTAACTTCATTTCTGAAGACATTCAGACACTCCTACCATATACCTGGTAGGAGTGACCTGTTTACTATAGTTTGTACAAACTGAATAGTTCTTCTTTTGTAAAGGACCTAGGCCATCCATGACTTCAATTCATTCTAGCAAATACTTAGACTCCATTGAAGTCAGTAGGAGTTACTTCTTGTATTCTAAAGCGGAGAATATACTGTATATATTTATTAAATTCCAGTGACAGGTACAGTATGAGTTCCAAGATGAAGTGTGCACTGCTCAAATTAACCATTGTCAAATAATTTTTAAGTGATTTCAATGAATGCTGTCTACATTGTCTTTACAAGAACTATTAATAAAGGGTTGTGTAAATTGGGTTTGGTTGTCTTTAACATCTTAAAAGTAAGTACCAGTGGCCTTACTAATGCAAATCAAAAGTATTTACAGTGACTAAAGTATGCTTCCCTGAAGCATTTCTGATTATGAGTCTTCTAAAAGAAGTATAATAGGAACTATTTTCTTACTCTCTGATGAGCCATCTACTTTGAATCCTATATCATTTTATCACATTTGGTTCCTCCATTTTATTATTAGCAGAAATGCATAAGCAAGACACATGTAGCACCGTAAAAAGTTCTATTTGTAAAGCAAATCTGAACTACATGATTTGCAAAAGGAGACACACAGTACATATATCGACTAGATAATTTTGACTGGGTTATAGTTTAATAAGAATTAAAATGACATTAGTATAATAAACAATTGCACTTTAAAACATTTGAAAAATTAAAAAAGTACACAACGAATACCCCACAATTGTACATCTTATAGTTTTTATACATTACTATATGAACATAGAGGTTAATCATATATAACCTTGTCAGAAGAAATGGTATTTTGTGTTTGTATAAGTTACAAAAATTTGAGACAATATACTACATAGTGGCTTGTTCAGTTCTTAAAATATTTTTGCTGTTTTAAGCTGGGTTTATTTTTACAGATTTCCAATACTTTATCAGAAATGGTTGCAACAAAGCTAAAGCAAAGTAACACTTCACTTCGTTGGTATTTAGTGCAAATTTTTGTTAATTTAACATGAAATGTCACTGTTGCACGTGTACACTTTAGAAATGTTTCCATCAAGTACTGCATGTAACAGTTTCCATTGTTACACTAGATACCTTTATGGTTGAAAAAAACCCTCTGCTTTGAAGCTTCAGCTTAAGACCATCCTTAATGAAAACTTATTCTATGTGCTGTAAATGGATTGTATTGGAAAATTGCATCCTTATGTCATGCACAATAGCACCTAACTTTGCTATGCTTTTCAGAGTACCAGTATTTTTAATCCTGATTTACTTCACCTTCTCTGTATGTCTACCTGGCTCCCCCTCCCAAGAAATAATTGTAAAGATGGGGTTCGGGCAGTTTAGATTACAAATAGGTACTGCAGGCAAACAAACTTGGAAAAAACCTTAAATATAACTTAAGATGCACTAATTCCTGGTGCTAGCAGAGCAAGAAGAATTAAGGAGCCAATTCTTTCTTCGGACATTGAAGGCATTAAGGTTTTTTTTCTCCTAAGCATTTGAGAGCAGCATTGCCCTGTTTCTGTTTAAAACATAATAATTACTTATATTAACAGTAAAAAGTTACTTTAGAGATTCTGTTTTAAATATGAAACTGAGCAAAACTGATGGCTTTTGACCAAGAAAGCCCATTTTGCTGCTGCATATCTTCTCAATCTATCACGTCCACTGTGTTTGTGCTATTGTAACCATGATAGGGAGCCACTGTTTGGTGGGAAAGGCTGTACTCGACAATGACTTGCTGTTTGATTCTGAGAACAGGAGGATACAGCAGGTTTCATTCTGTTTTCTGCATAAAGTGCTACTCCTTATGCTGCATACAGCAGTTTGGCTAAAACACTTCCATGAAGCATATGTGGCATCATTCTATAATGATATGTCTTCATTTTATGAAAATGTCTCCTTTTATGATGTTGTAGGCTTAAAGGTTCTTTTAAGCCCTATGGATATAAGGAGATATTCAGATTTTTTAAAGTCTTCCTTGTAAAACAAACTCAAGTGAACTATTTAATAGCGTGACTTTCAAAAATGCAGACCTAGCTATTTCTATGGGATGTTGAGGATAGCGACATTTTTATTACATCTTAAACTTTATCCTTTTTTGTAAGAGAGAGGGAGTGAACATTTTTATTTTAGTTAGGTGAAGTAATAAAGTTTTCAATTGCCACAGCAGATACCTGAGATGGGGTAAGTAACCTTTTCTGAAGTGATCTAGCTGTATTGGTCAAAGTACAGGAAGTTATCTGAACTACCTGAAGTTGCATGTAAAATCAGGAGTAAAATCGGGAAGAATGCCGAGTTAAAACTCCTGAGAGTCTCACTGACTTAGCTTTCCATTCTCAGTTAACTTCAGTTCTGCCAGTCTTACTCCTGTGGGAACTTACTGAGACAAATTCCACAGCTACATTTGCAGTGTAGAACAGTTTAATTCCAGTCATTCAATTGATTTAAAGTTGTAATCTGCAATCACTGTCTCTATGCATCTTAAATATGGCCAAGCACAAACAGTGATGCATTTAAATTACTAGAAGAAACACTGACTTCTTTGCTTCTTTTTGAAAACTTAATGATATTTGCTTAAATAACTGTGGGGTTTTTAAAGTAGGATTAATTGTTTTCTTCCTAGGAATGAGGGAATATAGATGTAGTATATTAATACTACAATGGAAGAAATTACCTCAGCATTTGGATGGTACCATCTTTCTGCTTATTATTTGCATGTAGAACAGTATATCCCGAAGTTCTTCATTAGGGAAAAAGCTTTCAAATAGCAGGCAGAACTGACAGTTCATACAGTTTAACATTTTTTTTAAAATTATGAATAAGAGAAGGGAACATGCATCTTGCTTTAATTTTAACAACAGACTGCTGAAAAAAAATTCTGAGATCTCGATTAAAGTATAGAGATCTAAAATTCCAGAACCGAGTACCCACAGAATTTAAGAAGCATCTGAACTGAAGTTCTGGCCCTTATTACGATACTCACTAAAATTTACATCCAGTATCTGAGCATTTTTAAGTTTTTGAGAGTCTGGCTGTGAAATTTTTGCCATGACCTCATTTAGCTATTTGTCAAAGCAATGGAATATATGACTTGAGTAGGCTTAACAGTGAGCTAGAGCAAAATGGTAATCAGTTCAATTTTCAGTCCTTCCATACATGCATTTTCAATTTTGTCATGTGTAAAATGCAGAATAAATAAAAGAAAGCAATTAATAGCAATAGAGATGTAGTTTTACAGTTTACTTTATGATCTGTGGACAGTCACTCCAGGCTTTTGCTTTCCTCTTGGCTAATGCAAGCCAGGCTGGTTCTGTTGACACAGGGTTAGCATCAGGCGTAGAGAATCTCTTGGCCACCTCTTTTGTCAGTGGGGTTGATGGAACAGAGTCTGAAATTTCCACTGCAGAGGAAAAAGAAAAAAACTTTAGTTGAACCCTGTGCTTTGTTGCAGGATTCTAAAGATTTCACTTATATGTGAAGATGAGCTCAGTTGGTTAGAGCATGGTGCTGATAACACCAAGATCGTGGGTTTGATCCCCTTATGGGCCATTCACTTAAGAATTGGACACAATGGTCCTTGTGGGCCCCTTCTAACTCAGAATATTCTGTGAAACTCAACCAAACTTAGTATCAGATCATGCCTCCTTAACTGTTGTTGATTCTATATTCTGAACCAACACTTGATATTTATTTCCAACACTTTTAGGTAAATCTTACTGTATGTGCATAATAATCAAGTGAGGAGGAGCTGAGTTTCCTTTTTCAGAGGTGACTCCAAGTAATCCAACTCACAAAAACAGGGACAAAATTTTCAGTCTCTGTGAGAGCCAAACATTTCCAATTTGCCAGGCTTCCTCTTTACATAAACTATTTTGATTACATCTACAACACAGCAAACAATGGGAAATAAAGCTAGGGTTTTTTTTCTCTTTGGTAACGCAGCTGCTGCACATGTTTAAGCCAACTGCACTCAATAGGATTTAGAGTCTCTCTTCAGATTAGTGTTCTTAAATAAACTAAGAGAAGAAAGTGGTCCTTTAGTTGCCTGCCTCAGTTAACCCTGCCCGTGAGACTATCCTGAAAAAGAAATAAACCTGCTTTCTCCATTTGACACATTTTCTTCTAAGTAGTATCTTTAAGACAAACAGCTGTCTCTGCAAGAAAATATGTTGAATAAACAACTGATTTCTAAGAAGCAACTTCACAGAGCAGAACTGTAGAATGTATCATAGTAGCCAGATGGGAAGATTAATTCTGAGACAGTGAATGCCCTTGAAAGCAACCTGGATAGAAATGAGTCCTGTCTGAAACCTATGGAGTAACTCTAAAAATCATAGTTACAAAATAACTCCTCACTCATCCTCCTCCTTACACATTTTCTTTTCTTAGAGCCAAAAAGATTTTTTTTTTGTTAAATGTTCAGATTCAATCCAAATTCCTTTAGTTGAACTTAATTTTCAGGTTTTTAATGTTTTAAAAAGCTTTAAAATTCCATGGATGCCAAAAATTGTTCATACTTTACAGCATTTTACACGTGCCTTACAGCATTCCTGTCAACCTGTAACAGGGTTCTATTGCAACCCTACTCCAAAAGATTCAGCAGTGTGATGTTAAGCTGTACATGGTCAATTCTAGCAGAAATCAATTCTTTCTATTACGTCTTTAATCATATATTTTTATCTGTAAGTAAATGAACCCTAGCACAGCTACTACTGTAGATGGATACTTTGAAAAGCTAATTATTTTAAATGCTATGGTAATTTATGCTATTTTAAAGGTTAGATACTCTTATCAGTTCCTGTTGTACAAGACTCAAGTGCAAGTCTGAAATACACCTTCTTTTAAGTTTTGGGTGTTTTTAATGTCCTTAAAGGAGAACTCAACAAACTCATTTTAAACATGTCCTAGGCTGGTATTCTGTCTTAAATGCTCTTCTAATGTGGGAAACCCAAATTGGTCTTGTCATCCATAATAAACAAATACTTGTATATAGATATTTGTGTAGTTGCTAATGGCTGCCTGGCTCCAAATGTAGCCAGTAATCACAGGGAAATCCAGTCACTGTTCCCTTTAGGGCCAATAGAGTTATTTCACTTCAGGTGACTGACAGTTGGTAATTCCTCCTCAGTTTCCCCCTGAACTCTCATTCTAGTGCAGACAGACTGATCCTGGATAATTGGGGTTTGCCCCTTCTTTGGTCTAATTTGGCATCATCTGTTCTGCTGGAGTTTGATTTCTGCTAGAATTGACCATGTACAGCATAACATCACACTGCTGAATCTTTTGGAGTAGAGTTGCAATAGAGCCCTGTTACAGGTTGACAGGAATGCTGTAAGGCACACGTAAAATGCTGTAAAGCATGAAAATTTTGGGCAATCTATGTGAGACGGTTTGAGTTGGAAGGGACTTTTAAAGGCCTTCTAATCCAACCCAAGATGTTGCAAATTCTCAGGGGTATCTGCTCTGGTGTGCAGCTGCAGTGTGAACATCCAGCTGCTGAACAACTGAATATAGACATGCATAGGGGTTGTTCAGCTTGGGACGGTCTGTAGTGTAGGAGCAGCACTGGTTTAGCCTTTACTGTTACAAATCAGTTAAATGAATCACCTCATTGCTTTCAAAAGTTGCATTCCATAGTTCCTGGCTTGGAGTGGTACTGACTAGATGCAACTTATACATGTATTTACTTTCAAAGAAGCCTATGATATTTACTGTGCAACTTGTAAAAAGGTTTCTTCAACACCTATCTGTACTCTTCTCCAAAACCTTTTGAGTATGGAATTTTTTCAGCTTAACTGAAGTGACAGATAAAGCAGTAGGTTCTGATTCCAACCTTCCATACCAAATATTTGACTGGTAACAGGCTAGCTTCAACTGAACTGATTAATTTTTGCATTTTTCAGTGAAATGGAAATACTCATTTCCAATATTGTGGGGTGAATATTTCTCCTTTACAAACTGGGAGGTGCGAGAACACAACATGCTTCATTTCCTACACAAATACATTTTGTAGAAGTTAAATATCATTCCACTTCTGTGCTAACCCCCAACCTAAAGGCAAAACAGTACTGCAATTTCGATTTATAGTAAATCTGATCCCTCTAATGTGCATTAGTCATGTTCCAAAAATACTGTTGGATATGGCTTGGGGAGACAGCCTAATTTTGTTGACTTGAACTGGGGCAATTCTAAGGAACTGCAGTAGTGCAGCCTTAATAACTGGGGAACCTGCTGAAAACCTGTTAAAATTATGTATTTCCAGCATACTGGCCAGCATATCAGACAGGGACAAGTTGTGTTGTTCTATGCCGAAAGCAAATTCATTTGTAATTCTAGGGGTACTATATAAGGAGAAAAAAAGTAATGTGTTCACTTTGTCCAAAACATGCAATACCATTTCTGAAGTGCAATATTTCTAGAGTGAATCTGAATCTCTCACTGTACCTGTCACAGATGTTGGAAGGGTGTTTGACTTTTTTAGCTGCTCCCTTCTTTCTAGTCTTGACACAGCAGTCTCAGTTTTCTTCTCCCCTTCTTGAGTTGTAGATTTCTGCAGTGTGCTCGTTTTGCTGCTGCTACTTTTATTATCTGACTGATTACTTACAGCAGCCTAGAACAGAGAAGGAAAACTGCTAAATGAGAAACAGTCTGTCACGTAATGGCTACAAGTTCGAGATGACACACTTGGTTCTTTCATTCACCACCTGGCCTTTCTTTAACCTTCCTTTTTGGCAAAGGATCACAACACTCTGATACTTCTAGAACCAACAGTTATTAGAGACTAAAAAAAACCACCACAAAGTTAAATTTGTCATGTTGTCACTTCAGTCAAAATACTGAACAGTTTGAGCCAGCCCTGCCCATTAAATACAGCACTGAAACACACTGTGCATCTGCAGGCAACTTCACACACACTGGTTTTCTTCTACCAGTTGTCTATATCAGTGGTTGGGCATGTATCCATCAGAAATCTGGGTCTCATAACAGACATCAAAATATATTTAGTTATCCATGTAATCTCCCTGTTTACCATCCGTGATATCTATATACAGCGTCACTGTTTGTGTAGCATCACACTGGTACTGTAAGTGGAAATGCTTTCCTTACTAACAAGGAGAGTAAATAACTATTTGGAGAATAGGAAAGAAGTGATACTTGAATTCAGTGCCTGCTTAAGGCATTTGGATGTATCACGATTGTCCATTTCTTTCATTTGTCTGTATTTTATCCAAATAATACATGTAACAATAAAAAGAAATTCAGACTTGCTAATATTCACCTATAAAGGTGTATTCCAACTGTTATCCCCAAGCATTAAAGGTTAACATCTTATTTGCTCAAGCTCTAAAAGAACACATTGCACACAATTTTTCTGTTCCATCACCTGCACAGTGGTTTTGCTTATGATTGCCATTAACTACCACCAGATATCATCGAAGTTTACAGTAAAATTGTCACACTGTTGCGAAGTATTTTTTCCTGGAGGTCTTGGTTTTGCAAAAGCAAACTCCAGACTTTCAGACTACTTTTTACTCATTGTCATTTTAGCTTTTATTAAATCTTACAAACAAAGCATTAAAAAAATGCTCTGCATAAGAAAATTAGCTAACAGTTATAATCATGGTATCAGTATTGTTAATAAGCAGGTTCCTAAAGATTGCTTACATTTTCTTTAGCCAACTTCTCTGCTTGCTTTGCCTCTCTAGCTTGTCTCCTCTCTTCCCTTGTGGCTTGCTGCTCACGAAATCCCTTTTGCTTTTGCAGTGCCAATGTAATCCAAAGCGGTTGTGAAGTTTCCACTTTTTCCATCAATTTAGAGCCATCTAAAGAGTGCCTGCTCTGGAGGACAGGCTTTTCTGAAAGAAAACATGACAAGAATTGACTGAGTAATGCACATCTCTTGTTTCAAGAAAACTTCTGTACCTTGTGGAAACACTGGAGCTAAGTCCATTGAATGTCAGGTCAGTCACAGACCCTTGTGGACTGCATGGAGAATGCTGAAAAAGATTTTATGCCTCAGGAATAAGACCTAATTTGACACACTCATACAGCTGTTAAAATGTCTTTTTTTTTTTTTTTTTTGTGAAAAAGCCTACTCCAGACTTACAGCCTTATTTACTACAAATATTTGCACTGTGTGGGATATTTGGTGAAAGTGATGTCTTTACCTTGATTGTTTATAACTGATAAAAGGAATACAAATACATACTGCAGTTCCCTGGTTTTTCAGCCATAATTAAGGGAAGAAGAATGTCTGAACTTCAGGGGACTAAAATTATGTACTGCTGTAAATTCAGCCTCTGTTATAAAAACTTATTTTTTTTTTTAAATTGGCACTTGAGCATTTGACTTTCTGTACTCTGAGTGGATTTGGAGCTAGCACCCAGTATAGAACTGTGAGTGTCAGGGAGCAGCACTGGGTTGCAAAGGTGCTTCTGCAGAGCTCAGTGAGCACAGAACTGGCTGGCCCAGAACCTGCTCTCCCATCCAGCAGCTGTGCCTCCAACTAGTTTCCATAAATCCACATTTTACAAAAATGGAAGTCAAAAGAGAAAGTGTAAAAAATTGAAAAAAAAAAAAAGGCAGCAGTTCCACTGAGAGATGATTTTAGACATGTCCTGATGCTTGCAAAATTCAAGAATGAAAAAAAAATTAGGATTTCCCAATGAAATGCTGAATTCCTGCCTTTCTCTTTTGGGTGTCCTTATGCTGAAAGGATGATTTTCTTCCTTGTACAGATTACTACTTTCAGCCTTTCTTTAAAGAGTCATTATGACTACTGTAATTGTTTCTACTACTGAAGAGTAGCTCTGAAATGCAGACTCCTATGCTCAGCTATGCTGGATTAGATAGAGAATTTGTCCAGGATAAGAGGACCTAAACCTTAGTATTTTTAAAACTAGATAACAATTCCCTAAAAAATAGAAACAATAGAGTGTAAATTTTAAAAATTACACCCCCTGCTCTGCTGACACCATTACGTGTGGACCACAGAGCCCATCCCCTGACTAACCAGGTAACACCTCTACGAGGAAAACACACTCACACACTTCTGTTACCTCCCTGAAATTAACTTTCTTAAGCAGGTTGCACCAGTCACACTGAGTTTGTGCATTTCTGAATTAAACTGTGAGGATAGGAATTCCCACTCATTCAGACAACCCTAAGCAAAGTAATGGTCCTCCACAAATAGCACACCAGGTAAAAAATATAGCTTAAGACCAAACATCTTCCTCTGGACCTTAAACATCTCATTTTGGAAGTGCAAGCAATAGCTAAATATGCTTTGAAAAATACATACCTTTCTTCAATGGCTCAGGCTTTTTGTCATTTTTTTCTCTCCATGGAATACTTAGAGATGGGAAAAATGACTTCTTTTCTTTGATTTCTTCCTCTTCATTTTTGTACTCATCGGATGGTGTGAGCTGCACTGCATTTGCTCTGTCTTCTTTTCTCCAGCCACCATCTGATTCAGCTTTAGCCACCCTTTGCCCCAGCATTTCAGATAGGTTTGATCTGTTCATTTTAGAGAGAGGAGATGATGGTGGGGTTTGGCTGGTGGGCTTTGGAGCTATAGCAGGTTTCTGTGGGACCACTGACTTGCATGCTGGTTTCTCATGAGCAGATAAAGCGCTCTGGCCAGTCGCTGGTGGGATCGCTGGTGTGCCCACTGGCTGTGAAAACTCAGTCACAGTAATTGAAGAGTCTTTTAAATTACCGGGGACATTTGCTCTCCCCATGTCAGGGGATGTACTCTCTTGTGGAGCAAAAACAGCGGATTCTTTCTCACCTTCTGTTGAGGTGAGTGGGTCAGGCACACCGTCAAAACTGTCTCCTGCACTGTATCTTTTCTTTTTCCTTTGCTCTGCCTGTTGATCATAATGGAAACGTAAAGAGTAGTTTGTCCTTCGTAACTTTATCCCAAAAGGAGAAACATTTTCTTCTCCATTTGGTGACGGTTTATCTGCTTTTTTTGTGCTGTTATTTTGCTGATTTTCCAGAGCACTGGGAAGTTCTGGCTTAGGTAATTCTTTACCTGGAGAATGAGGAAAACTTGGAACAAGAAAAGATGGAAGATCTTTTGCAAATTTACAGCCTTCTGTATTGTCTGTCACTTCACTATGGGTTTCCACTTTCTCCTTAGCCTTTTCAACTAAATTGTCCTTAAAAGTGGTAGCCACATCCTCCTTCAAATCAGCAGATGAGCCAGTGTTTCTCCCCACATTACCTTTTGCCACACTTACATTCTCAGGGTCTGAACTGATTCTTGAAACTTCTGAAAATTTCTGCCATGCTGGTGTTATTGAGAACTTTGCATTTGCAGAAAGGGTTTTCCTTAAATTACCATGGGGAGCACCCCGTCCTCGGGGTGTCCAGTCATCACTGTGCCTGCAGACACTTACTCGGTCTCTCTCATTATATTTGTTGTTTTCTGCATTCTTCAGTATTCTGGAGCGAATAGAGGCCCACTCAGCTAGTACGGCCTGGTTGTTCAATGTCTCTTGAGCGTGTTTAATTTTACTGCTGCTAGGTTTGGGATCCTGTTTTTTTTTCTGGGACTTCTCTGGTGAAGGAATTTCCACATTTTTCCTCTCTTCTGTTAAGCCAAGTAATGATTTGCAAGCCGTGTCCTTAATCTGGTTCAGGTTAACTGCTGTGCCACACAGCTGTGCTCCAGTAACCAAAATAGCTGTGTGGGGTACACACGCAGATGACGGGAGGGTGTGAGAGCCCTTACTGATGGTGTGCACCCTACAGTCTTTGACAGATGGAGAAGAGAGTCCTGTTCCTTTGGTGGGTGTGACAGGACTCAGATTTACTTTCTGAAATATGATCTGTTTATCTCCAGAAGACACTTGAAATGTGAAGGGTCTGGATGCAGTTTGTCTTTCATCTACCTCTTGCCACCGAAGTTCTTCCCCTATGCGCTTTTGCTCCTGAGCTTCAACATCTCTCTTCAGTTTCTGGGCTAGCATTTCTTCTGCTGTTTTATTCCCTTTTTCTGGCTGTTTGAGATTTTGGGCTCTTGATCCTTCTTGGAGCTTCTCCTCTGTTGGATGCCTATCAGCCCCTCCGGAACAGAACTGATCCTTGTCTTGTGGCTGTTCCGAGGATATTTCTTGGGTTTGCTGAAGATTTTGTCCTTCTGTGTCTGTCTTCTGCTCTTTCAGCTCATTCCATTCTTGTCCATTTTGTTCCTTCTGCTGCTTCAGTTCATCTTGTGGCACACCCTCTGAACTTTCCATGTGCATTTGTTTTGTGAGCTTGTGTTTCCTCTGCTCTTCCCGTTTCTTTTTCTTGTCTATTACTTGCTGGGGTTGTTCCTTATCTGTCTTTTCTCCTTTCTCCTTCAAATGCCTTTGTTCCTCCTGTTTTTTCTCTTGTTTGAGGCTCTCAGGTTCTTTCTCCTTCAGTTTTATTTCAGTGACTTGAAGCTCTTTCTCTTCTAGGTCTCCTCTCTGTATTTCTTCCTTATTTTGTTCCTTGAGTACTTTTGGTTCCTCCAGCCAATTTCTTTCTTCTTCCTCTTGACACTCTTTTTCAGTCCTGTGTTGCCCTAATTCTTCCAGCGCTATCCTCTTCTGCTCCTTCACCTCTTGTCTCTGCTTCTCCTCCAGCTCTTTGCACTTCTTCTCTTCCCATTCCTGATACCTCTGCTCCTCCAATTCCTGATGCCTCTGCTCCTCCAATTCCTTATGTCTCTGCTCCTCCAATTCCTTATGTCTCTGCTCCTCCAATTCCTTATGTCTCTGCTCCTCCTGTTCCCAGTGCTTCCGTTCATCTAGCTCTTGTCTCTGATGTTCCTCCCGTTCCCTACACCTCTGGTCCTCCAGCTCTTGTCTCTTTTGCTCTTCTTGTTCCTTGAGCTTCCGCACCTCCAGCTCTCGTCTCTGTTGCTCCTCCCGTTCCTTGAGCTTCTGCACCTCCAGCTCTTGTCTCTGTTGCTCCTCCTGTTCCCTGAGCTTTTGCACCTCCAGCTCTTGTCTCTGTTGCTCCTCCTGTTCCCTGAGCTTTTGCACCTCCAGCTCTTGTCTCTGTTGCTCCTCCTGTTCCTTGAGCTTTGGCACCTCCAGCTCTTGTCTCTGTTGCTCCTCCTGTTCCTTGAGCTTTTGCACCTCCAGCTCTTGTCTCTGTTGCTCTTCTTGTTCCTTGAGCTTTTGCACCTCCAGCTCTTGACTTTGTTGCTCCTCCAACTCCTTCTGCCTTTGCTTCTCGAGTTCCTGACACCTCATCTTCTCCAGCTCTTGCCTCTTTTCAGTCTCTATCAGTCTTCTCTCCTCTTTATAGCATGTTTGCTCTTCTGTTTCCAAAGATATCTCTCTCTCAAGGAGATACTGCCTCCTCTCTTCTTCACAACACCTTTTCTCCTGTTCTTTGCGCATCTGTTCAAGTTCTTGGCACCTTTTTTCTTCCATTTCTCTTTGTTCATCCATTTCTACAATCTGTCTTATCCTTTCAGCCTCAAGGATCCCCCAGTGATCTTCAATTCTTTTTTCCTCTGCAAGCTGAAGCTGCTTCTGCTCATTTCTGCCCTGGATTAGCTTGTCTGCTATGAAGTGTCCATTATAACCTGGATATATGTCTTCATACAGCTGAGTTTCCAGGTCCTCTGGCTCAAATTCTGTTATTGTTAAACTTTGTGATCCCTAAAATTAAAAGACATGTTTGAAGTTACTGAATATTGCCTATTGGCTTGTTATTCTTTATAGTGATCAAAGAGTTGCAAATGCAAACCACTTTTTTCTGAACAGTGATTTAGATCCAGAGCAAACACACCCACCCCAATTTATGAATCACATCATCATAGATCCCATGTCTCTCACCTATTTCGATGAGAGCCTTTAAAAGAAAGAAAACATCCCAACAGTGATAACAGTATAATGCTAAATATTGAATCACCATTTGGTGTACACTGAGACCTGACCTTTCAAATTTACAGAAGTCCAAGGAATAGAGCACAAGTTTCCTAAGCCTGTTCTACTACTTAGAACTCCACCCTTTAAGCCTGAAACAATTAATGCCTGCTTAAGGGCATTGTTTTGCCAGTTCTTTCATGGCAAATCTATCTCTTACTTGCAGAGACAGAAGTTGTTGCCTGCAGAGATGAGCTCTGCAATGGTAGCCAGGAAAGAACACTGCTCAGGGAAACACAATTTGCTGCTTTTCACAAATCCTGAGCCAGGATATCTTCCTCATTAGCTGTGCTGAGACTCCAGTACTATTGCAGGAACCGTGGGAACATGCATGGACAGCCAACCTAGAGCTCCCCAGGAGTATTGCACTGTTCTGTGATCATCACTGACTGGTTCTCCATGCCTACCCAGCAGCCCTGGCATGTGGGTGCAATACCAGCAACAAACTGCGGATCTTCTTCACAGCTTAGTCCTTGTCTCTGTAGCAACGTGGTCTGATGAGCTGTACCTGAACAGCACTTCCCAGCACTTCCCTTGAGGAAAACTGCTCAGCTAATGTCCTGTCTAGCTATCATTTTTTGAGCCATCATTTGGCTCCACTTAACCATTCTGTATAAACAAGAGGTTTAAATTTAATGTCTTCATTGCAAGAGTGATAAACGCAAATACAGTGGTGCGGAAGAAAGGACAGTGGCCTCTCCTGAACCCTGTGTAGTTTAGTAGTCTTGTCCCATTTACAAGCACTAGTAAGATGTCAGGATAAAAAACAAGAAATGTGCAGTAATTGTACAAAGCTAGAATTTGATAATTCACTCTATAGCTGTGCAAGAGCTACATTAATTAAGTCTTATTCTTCCCTATAGGACAAGGATATTTTCCCTGTCAGAACCAACATCAGTTTTAGAGAATCTAATTTTTTCCCAACCAAGTTTTGCACTACTAATTGCCTGTATCAGAGCTGCATTAACAGTGGTAGATATCTTCAGGCCTCTATGATGTAAAATTTTTACTAGAAAAACTAGACTCAGAAAGCTCTCCCAGTGTAAAATCCTGGTGGAATTACTTCAGGTTTAAGTAGTCTTTGTCTCAACTGGCAATATTATAACTTCTTTGCATCTTCTCTCCAGCTCATGTTTCAGCTGTAGGTCTCTCTTGACTTCAAGTAACAGTGTAAATCGCATCTTAAGTTAATAACAATCCTATGTCTATAGCTCCTGGTGCACTCAGTTATGGTTATTTTACCCAGCTTCAAAAGTAATACCCCTCATCTTGCTGTTTGGCCAGTGATTTAATACCTTTGTTAGTCTCTTGTGCTTTCCTGATACCCTCTGCTTTTTTGGCTTCACTGACAGCTTGTGCTTAGCTGCACTGTTGTCTAGACGAGCAACAGCCTGGGGAACTGAATCCAAATTGATTGTTTCAATTGTACCAGAACAGGAAAATTGTCTTTTTGGCCGAGTTGATTTGACTGGAGTGACCTGTTTGTATCACAAACACAAGAAACTGTTATTAAGCTATTTGTTCCATAAAATAAATAAATAAACAAATTAACAATATGCATGCATGCACACACATGCACACCTTTGGAGTTTTGAATTCAAAGAGTTATTAGCAGAAAAGATTTGAAACCCTGGTTTTCAATTATACAAATCACAAACTTTGGACATGAAAGTTACAGCTGTAATATTTTCCCATTTTCAGTACTACACATTTTTACAGTTGTCACATTAAGATTACTTATACCATTCTAATTGAAGTATTTTCACAGTTTAGCACCACTCTGAGCTTATTGGGAATGGGAAGGGCACAGGCAAGGTTTTAAGCAATATCAAACACTGGGACATTTTAAAGTTTGCTTACTGTGAAAAAAAGATTTACATCTTTAAATAATTTAGATTAAACACTTTAGGCAAAAGGAAATCAGATTGACTTATCTAAGCATTATAACAGAACAGGTACAGAACTGCATTATCTGCATGGGAGATGACTGCAGTATGGGATGGCAGACTGGCATAGTGCCTGCAGAAAACCTTCCCTCCACAGTCATATGGAGTTGTCCAAGCAAGCACCAAATAGCAAAATATAAAATAAGACAACATTGACTTTGACAGGTGCTTTTTTTCTCGTGCCCTTCAAAATACTTGGGTTCCAAAAGTGCAAATATAAGCAAAGTGATTCAGTGAGATTCCTCTCATGAATAAATACAGTGGAACTGTATGTCTAGGTGTGTAAGCATGAGCCTGTCATCAGTCTCCCCCATAAGTCACCAAGCTATCATCCCAAGACTTGTATTTGGCATAATCCAAATGGAAAAAAAAAAAAAACAGAAAAAAAAATAGAAGGGAGAAAACATCTTCTGTAAGGAAAGAAAATCACATACATTGTTTTCAAGACAGCTCTGTAATCTTCTGAGGTTAAACACATGATAATCATGGAACCAATCACTTAAAAGCTGAAGGAACATTTTGCATATGCTTATTGAATTACATGCAGGCATAACAAAGTAGTAGAAGTACTTATGAAAATTATGACTGTGATTAATACATCAAATGTAGGAATGCTGCAAGACTGGCAGAGACAGAGTCCTGCTGTTTCCTGCAATCAGTTCCTACAGATTTCTCAATCTTAGTTATTGCTTATGTACTAGCCCCAAAACTGCACAACATTTACAAAATCTTGGGTGATCAATGAAGCAATGGAATATGTCCAAAAGCAGCAATCGTCAGGTTTCTGCTATTTCAAACCAGAATGTAACTCAGTGCAAACCAAGTATAAGAGTTTTTTTTACCTTTTCTTCCACTTCATGTCCTGTTCCAGGCAAATTTAGCATTCTCAAGAAATCTGGTGTGTCAGTGCACTAGAAAAGAAGATTACCACAGACATGTATTAAAATATAAAGGATCTAATAAATATGATTCAAAGGAGTTGTGAAATCATGCATATTAGGATAGGATTTTTACCCTGTTTCCTATCACTGCAGGACTGATGGATAAACAATTCTTGTTCCTACATGCTATGAGTTTCTCTTTGCTACTCCTTGAATCATTGCTGTCTACACAGAGGCAGTTACTGCTACAAAACACTACAAAAGGTAAAACGCTCAGGCTTTCTTAACAAGGTAAACAGGTTCCAAAACAAAGAGTACAGTTTTGTAGGATTTTGGTCAGGTCTTACAACTTTATTGTCTTCTGACCTACGCAAAAGGAAAAAATATAGTAACCTGATTAGGCATTATCTCTGCTGCAAGGAGTTTCAACTCCATGTGCTTGACAAATCCTCTTCTTACAGAGCTAACTGTCCCTACAGAGTGATGCAAGCCTGGAGTACTCGAACTCTTCAGCTACTGTCCCTCTCCAAGCCATTCACAGCAGGGAATTTTTAAGGCACAGAGGTTGAAGCAGCATTGATGACACCCAGAAACATTGGTTTTAATCATTCTATCACAGTATTACTTCATAACCTAATGAATGTTGGGATCCCATTACACCAGGCACACCTGATTGTTATTATGAAACCTAAAAAATCAGCTTCACAAATACAGGTTAAATTAAACCCAGAACTCTTGCTATTGATCCAAGTTACTCAGACAGGAAAATCAGAAATCACGAAGTATCACAGGAAACCTGTTCAAAGTAGACCAACATTATGTGGTCCTGGCCACCAATTCTTGACATAAGCCACCCCATCCCTCAGGACCTATGCAGACAGACACACCGAGGAGTTACAAGGCCAACAGAAGAGACGAGAGCAGAAATTAGGGAAACTGCCATGCTTCCCTAATTTCCCTGATTATCTCTGATAACACAGGTAACGAGTAGTGTGCAGAAACAAAAGGAAAGTACCAAGTGCTCTGACTGACACTACGCACATAGAGTTGGTTTGGTTGTGTCTACAATTGTCTCTGAGTAGGGATGTTTGCTCCTTCAGTATTTAGAAAAAGAATTATGCAAAGGGGAGGTCATTTTGGTTTTAAAATGTAATATTTAAAAGAGTAGATGGTAAGGATTGAATTTCTCCCTCCTTACTACACAAAAATACTGTAGTGTTTTTTTAGTGCTTGAGCTATTGTCTCCTTCAAGCTGGAGGTCACAAGGTGACATTAGTGTCTCCTACAGGACCCATCAGGAAGGCTGTCTGAAGAGAATCTATGTTGGTCTCAAACACAGACTTGCACCTAGTACCAGGGTACATGGGGTAAATAGCCAAAACCTATCCATGGGCCCACCTGCGCATTTTATGCTGAGGCACACAGGATGCTCTTGATTCACCTTAACTGATTGCTTCAGAAGGGAGTATTTGTGAAGCAGAAAAAATATACCTTACCTTGGCTTCATTTTTATCCTTCCAGACTGCCGAGAGAGAGGTGTGAGTGTGCAAGTCCTACCTAAATGCCTGGCTCCCTGATAGATCTGACCACAGCCACGAAGGAAGTGGTCACAGAGAAGCTATGTTGCCTCTTAAACACTGATGAAGAATTTTGGCCACCATGCCCATAGATCTGCCTTCTGTGTGTTTGGCTGAATATAGGCATGAGCTGCAGAGGACACTTCCTGCTTTTGCCTTTCACACGGCCAGCACTAGTGTTAGTGAACACGAGTGGAGGTTCATGCCCTGCTGTCCCGTCGGGATTTTAAGGGCTGCATGTACATGATGGGTTGCTGCATGCCTTTTCCAAAGGTTCCCAGGCACAAAGTCAGCCTCTTTCAGGCACAGAAGGATGTCCTTCTGTTCCCTGCGCTCCTTGCTGGCATTACAGTGACACACAGGACCAACCTTGCCTTAGAGGATTTCCAGAGACCTTTCCTCACTCACTGTGTTTCTTAGCTGTCTGAACAAGACTCTTCTGGATGCCTGAATGCCCACAGTTCCTGATATCAAAATCTTCATGAATAATTTGAAGAATTATTTGAATTATACTGGACATTTGGATTTAGGGAGCATAAAAAATGCTTATCCCCCTTCTTTGCCTCTGGTTCCTGTCCATGAGAAATACAGATACTTACCCTAAGATCTAGGATTTTACAGATTTAGGCTCCAGACCCCTCTCATTTTGCAATGATTTTCCTTTTTGCCATTTGATGCTGTGAGCAACTTCCCTTGCTCGGAAGGCCATATTTCAAGATATTTTCTGTCTCAGAAAATTCTCCTGTCTTCTAGCTACACTGCAAATGATGTCTACATTGCTAGAAGTTCAGAGCAAACACACAAACCAGTAGATCTGTGTGATCTGGATCAAGATGCCAAGAGCATGCTTCCCATCAGTCCAAGAAGGACGAGCTGAGAGAACCCTCCCACATGAAACAGCCCAGTGAGTTCTGCTGTGCCTCACTGGAGACATCTGCTATTGCCCAGTGAATTTTACTGCTTTAGTACTGCTATAATGCCATGGACACATCAATTTAAAGTGCTTACTTTATTACCACTGCCTGAGATCACTGTGACCTGCTGAGTCTCAATCTCCATGGGGCTGCTGAGCAACACATCCTCTTCTATACTAGTGTTTGCTTCCCCCATTGTCCTCGCAGAAACTGTCATTTGTGGAGGCTGCCCAAATTTTATATTCTTGGCCAACTGTTGCTGAAAAACAAAAAAAGGAAAAAAAACCCAACAGCAGTGATAAGCAGGTATTTATATTATGAGTAAAACAAGACAAGTTCAGCATGCACCACAAAGTGACCAAGGTCAAGAATTTGCTACGTGATTTCTGATTTTGGATGATCAACTTGAGTTCTTGACAGTGTTGCCAAGTTTTGCAAACTTACCGTGAACTTTGAAACACTCCATCTCTTTTTTTAATCTATGTTCTAGGTTAAGACTTTGTTTATAAAAGCTAATTATGATGCCTTATCGTTGCAAAGAAATATGATTACAAGCCATATGTACACAGGGAAACTAAAACTACCCCAAAAGGCACCTTTCTCCAGCTCCCAAACCCTGCATCTCATACATCTGCAGTTCTGAAAGATATCCTTATTGTAATGTTTAATTATAAGGTTTAAATGTTAAGGGTTTGGCACAACCTGGCCTTAGAAGAGACAAAGTCTCAAATGAGGGTAAGCTCAGCTCTTTTAGAGGCTTGATCTCATAGGAACAATATACGAACTCCTGTCTGCTCAGGCTCACAAGCACTGCCACTCACCACTGTTGCACAAAGAACTTCAGGCAGGGAACATGCAGTAGATGAATGAATAAAAGAGCTTTCCCACCATTTATTTTTCTTTTTGAAGTAATCTTCTCTCAAAGGTTACAAGAAAGTGCTCTTGAATTACATCAAGTGTAAGATGAATAAAATAAGTAGCATATAATATCTGTCCCCTGATAGAGTGAGTTAGAGAAATTGCAGCTCTGGCTACTTCAGAGACACATACCATACAGACTTTGAAAGCGAATTTTTGCAAAAGAGTTAAAAGAAATTCTCTAGAAGCAGCAAATGGAGTAAAGAACATGTATTGATACATTCTCTTCCTGAAATATTTCAGGGAATCATTCTCAGCTAGGAAGGAGGGGACTGTGGAGTTATTTTCTGGCTTTGCTGTCTTTCAAGCACAGAAAATTCTCCAAAGGACTTCTCCCATTTCTATCTTGTGAAACTAGGGACAAGTTATTTATGCTCATTTGAATTCTAGCAGAAAGTGGTGAAATTTATATCGTACACCATTTTGGCATAGTGGGCAGTTCTGAATGGCAGACTTTTATTCCCACCTGGATTACTGGTAGTGCACCCATAGTCTAAAGGCAAGTGTTTCACCAAGGGTTTTGTTGTCTCAGGGTTTTTTTCATTTTTTGATTTTTTAATTTTTATAGGTTTTAGAAGTAGTTATGTAGTGAATGTGGGTTTTAAATGTAACTGTATGTCCCTCACCCTTTAGAACAGTAGTTACATATACCCAACCCTATTACCGCATTCCCTATCAATTCCCCCTAAATTCCAGTAGCATATTTAGTCTTCTTTTTCAAGGTAGGCCTTCATTCTGTTTAAGAACATCTGCACCCTTGCCTGGACAACAAGATATCACCCAGGCAAAGCAACCTTCAAACCCAGGACTTTGGAAAGCTCCAAGAACTGTAAGTACTCCAAAGAAGATGAAGATGAGGAAGAGGGGGTGCCAAAACTCCCCCAGACTCAATTCCCGAGGGGCAGGTCGGTGGGTGGAACAGGGCAAAGGCCGGGGGGGGGGATGAACAGGGGTTAGATGGACACAATTATAAAAATTGTAACACCTGGGTCAGGGGGCGCGCATGTGGCTTGTATTTTCAGAGCCTGAGAGGCTTCATTAAAACCTTCCCTTATTTTAACACCTACTTAAACTGCTCTGGAGTTTTTTCTCCCTGAGTCTTTTAGGCAACAGTTTCACCAAGTCCTCCCAAGCTTTTATGTTAGCAGTGCAACTCGTAGAGTTGAAATCTTACATGCTTCCATTGTGTAAATGGGAGCTGGATGGGCAGATGGGTCTGTATGAGGCAAAAAACCTTCCACTGATAGTTCTCCACTGGCCAGTTTCTTTCAGTACATTCTAACCTCTAAAGCTGATGCTAAATACCAAACGACCAAATGTCAAAATCTGAAATAGCTTCCTGTAACCACTGATCAAATTTATTCTTGTTGTTTTTAAAGAGCAATATTAAACCTGCTCCTTGTTCTTTTTTAAAATGTGCTTATATTGTAACTACAATGCAATTATCCCTCTCAGAAAAAATTCATACTAATATATTCTCCACCTGGTCAGCCAAAAAATCCTAAAAAAATTCATCATCCATGAAAGAAAAGAAAATAAAACCCCATAAATTTTACTTGGAAGAACACAAATGGATAGTCTAAGCCAGAGACGAAGAGATACATCAGTTTAAGCTGCAAGAGGCCATAATCCCTGAAAAGCAGCATCTACTTTAAATTTCTCAAAAGTTTCAGTTAGACATGCATTTCTGAACACAAAACTATAAATCCTTGAGTATTGTACTTGAGAATTCCCTGTGCTGACAGTGTGTGGATGATGGTCACCTAAGGAGGTTTATTTGCAATGCCAGTCACTAGAAGTTGCAGGCATGACATTTTGTTCTTCTACCATTGCATAGTCACATGTCTAAATACCCTTTTGGAAATCTCCACAGATGTATACTGGGCTCAGTTAAATGACCCTGGCATCTTTTGGTTTGTGCAAAAAGGCTTGTAATTTAACAGCCAGAAATCACCATCCTGCTCTGAAATCTATCTGTCAACTATAAGCGAAGGAAAGAGAGAAACTTTTTAGGCCTGCACTTCTCACCTCCATTGTTATCAACTCCAGCAGACATTCCCAGTCCCTCAGTTTGCAGCCAGTGGACAAGCATTTCTACAGGACTTACAAACCATTCTTGGTACCAAAACAACACAGATACCACACATGACATTTATACCATTGAAGCAGCAGCTGGAGAAACCATAAACAGGGCAGCTTTAGGATGAGATCCAGGTCAGGTTTACCTCATCCACAATGTTTTTTCTGTAAGATTCATTAGAGTTTTTCTATTCACATGCAACCTGCCTATCAGTGCCAGGTGCCATTCAGTATTAGGTGAGGGGCAGGGCTGCATATCTAATACTGGCAAATAATTACTAGGAATTCAGAAAAAAAAAAAGTTTGCCCTCATCTGATTTTTAAAATCTTCCTCAGTAACTGGATCATGACAAAGGCCCACTTGTATTTCATGCAAAATAATTTGCTAAAATGTGATACTATTTAACTGACACCAGCTTACCACTAATAACTTCAGAAATAAAGCTCCTAAGTTAAATTGCTCTGCGTTGTCTGGCACCTGCAGCAAATAAAAAAGCTCAGACTTTCAAAGCACTCTTTGTATTTGCATAGGAAATGCCACAGAACAAGCTTTCCATATTAACCAGCAGAGAGCCCAGATCAGGCTGTACATATCCTCTTTCACTCCTGTTTGGCTCCTCTTTTGTGTACATGCCTGCTTGGGTGCATGTTGGATTCAGGCCCCTGAGACCACATCATTTTTACGGCTTTGTGCCTGGAGCGAATCCAAAACTGGATCCCCTGAGCTGCTCACTCTGTTCAGTTAAAAACCATTAAAACAGAGTGATTTCATTCAGCTGATTTCATTCAAATAAGTCTTATAAGAAAAGCTTGTCATATTTTGCCTTCTGCTCAAATACCTATTTTTCATATCTGTTTGCAATGCCCAAATGTAATGAAAATTAAATTAAATTTTCTAGTTGTATGTAATTGAAAATTAATTACTTAATATATGTCCTAATAAAAGCCACACTGTTGAAATTCCATTTGGTCTTGTACAGTCTCTCAGAATGACCCAGAAATCAAAATGCCTTGGGAATAAATAAGATCGCTACTGAGATGTTTCTTGTAAATGCTCCAATGTTTTTTGGCACCTGAGGATTTTGGAGCCAATAGCCAGTTGGGAACTTTTTTTTTATGAATTTGTTTCATTGTTCTTTGAACCTGTATTTCACAAGTAGCAGTGTGGTATGACACTGAGTTCTACAGTCCAACTCTAGTTAAAGAAATATTTGTTTTGTTTTGGAAGTGTTACTAGTCTCAACTGATGCTCATGTGTTCTCATGCTGTGAAAGACTGAATGATTGTCCACTATTCACTTTGTCAATTCTACGCGTGCTTTTATAAATCTTTATCATATTCTCTCTTATAATTAATTTCTTTTCTAGGTTGAGAAAACTGTTCACCTAATTATTCTTTCTTTGGAAGTGAGTCCACTTCTTAATCCAAACACGAAAAGCTGCAGCATATCTAACCAAATGAAACCACCCACATAAGCTTTTTTTATAATCAGAGAGAATAAACTGGAAAGCAACATTCAAGAAGTCATATTGGTGTAGCTGGGGCCTTTAGAAAGTAATCTAGGTGTAAAATTAATATGGAAACCTATTGGAAATGAGGAAAATAAGAACTATTAGCACAGATGTTTTGGATATAAGATGCAGGGAGGGAACTGTTTCACTCTCCATTGCTGGTGAGACATTGTTTCATGCATTACACTTGAAGAAAGTTTTGGGGAGAGTCTAAAATAGAAGAATGGTGAAGAAACATACTGTAAATGGATTTCTAGAGAGGCGTATTTTCAGCGAGTCCAGATACAAATTAAGATTTTTGTATACAGTGGCAATAGACCACTTAGAGAGAGTTGTGTAAAGAGCAAGACTTTCTGCAGAAGCCTGAAGATACTGCATCAGTGGCATTTGTCACCAGAGTCTCTCCTCAAGCAAGGCAGATGCAAGGAAGGAAACAGAAGCTCATTTTCAGGGCTTACTATGATCATAGGTAAAAGAGAATCTGCCCAAGAAATGCTAGAATGATTAAGAAAAAAAATAAATAAATTCAGTTTATAAAGTAAAACCAATTTTCAAATATGAGGAAAACAATTAGGCTGCAGTGGCACTAGAAAATATTAGCAACAAAGACATTAATTGTAAGAAATACAAAGTTAGGCAATCATGCAGTGAAAATTCACTCCCAATTCTGAAAAATGCAGAGCATCAAGTTAAAAGATAAGAGCTTTGAGGTTCCGCAAATGACTTTGAAGACTTGTTGAGATCTGTGCAATATCAAACAGAAGCAACAATGGGAATCGCTGGTACAGATGTTCTGTGCACAGTAGGGGAAGCACTTGCTTGATCATTAGCTAAGATATGCTAATTACTAAAAGAAATGGAATCCAAAAGTGAACAGTTATTAGGTCTGATAGGAAGAAAATGATCAGTGACATTCATCATCAGAAAGCCAGGGAAATGTGAATTTTAAAATTGGTCCTTTAGTATTTGACCAAGAAGTGGTTTTATCATGATCAATATTTGTGTAATAAATGAGTGTTTTATAAATTTACAGAGCAGAAGGTTTGTTTGTTTTAAGCCACATGGCCACATGAAACAGGAGGTAACCCTGCAGTTCCTAAATGCCATAAGCTATACGTCGTATTCAACCTTTAATATTTTTTGAAGCTGACTGCTGCAGCCTCACAGATGCCAGATGACCCAAAATACTTTCAGTAAAGGCAAGAGCCAAAGAACAAGCTGTTCTCCTGCCTCCAGAGGCAGCAGCAGTATCACACCACAGTATTTTCACAGCAAAAGGGAGAGAATGGCTTAGACACTTCAGGATATTAATGTTCTAAACAAGCTTTCATTTTACTTCCTGCAGTTTTTGTAGTCTGAAACAAAAACTGTCTTCTGTTCATTTGTTGACCATTTCTGGTAAATATCAGTGGTAGGAAGAAGAGTCATAGCTACAAAATATGAGGAAGTAGTTCTAAGGCAGTTTGATGGAAGAAAAAAAAAAAACCACTAACCTATGAAAGGCAAGGATGTAAAACGAAGTTCCCCGAGTTTATTTTTTTTTCTGACACACTGACAGATTTACATTTTAAACATTCCTGGTGTCTCATTCACAGTCCTGTATGAGAAGCAGAGCAACAGATCCCCAGAAACTAAGAGTTCAGCATTAAGAGTACCAATGCCTAGGTACCTCCTCTTTGTGGGGTCAGGTTCAGGGTGGCTTTCTACAGTGGATATTACAAACTAGGTAATGATAAATCTCAACAGATCCAAAGGACAAGGAAAAGACTTCTTTTATGACAGCAGATGGCTTGAGCCAATGTGAAATAACTTCAGGATACACAAAGGCTATTGGAGGTTAACAAGAGGTCGGGCTTTTCTCAGGCTGACTTCTAGCACACACTAAAACCTTTGAACATAACCAAATCCATTTACAGAAAGCATGATAAGATGAATGCTACCAATCTTAAAATCAATAAAAACAAATGAGGGCAATTCTAGAAAGAACTGGTTTACCTTGCACACATAATCATGAAGAGAGAATTCCCATAATAAGAAGCTGAAACAGTGCACATGCTGGCCAGATGCCCAGACTACTACAGAGTTTGCACCATTACACAACATTTTTTGTGGGTTCATCAACACTCCAAAATCAGCAGAAAGGCAAGGCAAGAAGGTAGAAACACTTTGGCAGCCCTCAGAATGATATCCAGCACCATCAATATTAAATGGCTAGCATCATTATTCTGACTTCAAAACCCTTTTCATCATGCTATCTGCTAGGCCTGTAAGCATGGTGACTTTTCAAAAAAACAGATTTAAGTTTTCCAGGAGTGTTTACTGTACCATACAAAAAAAAAATCCTGAAAAGGGTTAAAATTTGCCAAGCTTTTGATCTCTGTTTGAATGCAGCAAATCTGAAGTCAGCAGGAGGCACTGAATCCTGGCAACAACTCTTTACTGAAGAGCATCTTGCTGGTGAATGGAAACTGGAAGGGCAGTGCTTCCACTGTGATATACAAGCCTGGGCAAAACCACAGTAATGCTGGTGGCAAAGTAATGACTTGGGACTGGGAACAGGCCTCAGAACTGGCTTTAAGGAGTAGAGTGCTCTCCAGAAGACATGATTGTCTCCTCTTATTCCACCAGTTTAAGAAATACAGATGTTCCCAGTTGGAGTGAGCTTACAGAAAGGGTCTTCAAAGTAGATACAAAGTCTGATAACAGGAGACTGAGTATCAGTGTTTTCTGTGACCAGAAATCACACAGCAAATGCTGTTTCATAGAATACTACAGCAGGAAAAAAGGATGGTGTATGGAATGCATAAAACCTTCAGATAGGAGCAATAGTCAAAACAACTCATCAGACCTGGGACTCAACTGTAAGGTCAACCTGAAATTGTGCAATGGGGTTTTAGCACGATTTTGTCCTAAAACTCAGGGACCAGTTGCAGAAATCATGGCTAGGGAAATTGGGACAGTTACATGCTGGGCATCAATTTTTACAGATACAAGAGGTAGCCCTTAAGCTTGTTATGAAAAAAAATTCATGGAGATTTAGATGAATATATAACTTCTGTGCAAACATGTAAATAGCTAAAAGCATCATTTACAATTTATTATTCATCTCCTTTCTGAATGAATGAGTTGCTCTCACCATCATCAGTAGCGTGGAAAATGAATTGGGGATGTTACAGGCTGGGTTCCAGCTATACTAAAATGACAAAAATGAACTACCATCCTTCAGTTTTAAATAAAAAGGCAAGAACATATTTGACTTTAAGCAGCTGAAACAATACTTCCCCTTGAAATACATACAAATAACCACAACAAAAAAAGGCTTATGCAAAGGCTATTTATTTTGTGACTTTCAAAGGGGAGTATTTAGCTTCAATTTTCTTGAGTTACCATGTGCTTAGTGAAGATGGTTGTTAGCAACTGCAATAACTATACTTTTTATCGGGTCTCTCAGTTTAGTGAAGGTAATAATTTTCACTGGGAATTTTAAGCTGAGTTTTGAAATAAGAAAAGCCACTCCTAAAAATGAAAAGTTATTCATAGAAAAGCTAACATACGGAATCCAAGACAACAAATCCAACAGATAGGGAGGGCACAGCTCCTTGAAGAAGCTGAGTTTTTATTTTTGGTTTTGCATCGAAAGGACACTGCAAAACAGGCCCAACTACCTCATGTCTTTGCCCAGAGTCAGCAGTCATTTTAAACACAATGATTTCAGACTGGAAAGTAGCATGCATGGAATCTACCTCGCCCAGGGAAATTTAAGCTGAAAAACCAGCACAGAGGAATTGGAGCTGCCCTAGCGTGGTTTCTACTTAAGAGTTCATCTACAGTCAGCACAGCCAGTGCTGTTCAGCTGCTCTGCCTGCCTACAGCACCAGCAGGAAGCAGGAGCAATTTAATCCTGAAGGTCAGAGCTCTCTACTGAGCATGATCTCTCACTCACCAGAAAAGATGAACCATGGGTAGACTTTTGAGGTAAAAGAAATCAATGGTATTTTACTAGTAAGCCTCAGAGTAACAACACTTGCACAGAATTAAAAATTTATCAGCATTTTGACAGGACATGTCAGCATCCTGAGCAATAAAGTGCAAAGTGCTTCTGAAGGACAGCTCTTTCAAGATCTAGAAAGGCACAGAGATGGGAATCTTACAGATGTACAAGTAAAGCAAAAAATTAGTTAGAGTGCTAATGGGAGAGAGTTCTGGAAAAGAAGGAAAAGCAGGTCATGTAAAGCTGTTTAGAAGCAAAACCCAAATATGCTTCGGAGAGATAAACAAATCCACCTTTCATGAGAGCCATTGAAAGGACAGCAAGAAAAAGGAGAAAAAATGTAAAATATATAAATGTATAGTGAAATGAGCTTTACAAAGAAGTTCTCACTCTACATGCCACTCCCTGCCACCAATACCACTCTCATTTTTTCTCTCAATACCACATCTGTAGGACTCAGGCATACAGATCAGGACACACTAAAACCATGAGTGTAGAGTTCAATTTAAATGAGTTCCACAAGACACGGATATTTCTGCAGAAATGTCTGCAGTATCACTGCTATAACTTTCAAGACCAAAACCCAGACCTTCTGCAGATTATCTGAATTACATGGCTTTTGGCCAGACAACTTAACATGGCTGAGAAATTTCCCGAAGGCTATTGGAAAAGCAAACCATTTTTATGCACATATAACACATTCTGGAGACTCTTTTCCCCCACATTTTAAGTATTTTTCCCACATTTCTTACCTGAAGAGTTTTGACTTTTCCTAAAACGTTCTCCTGTGACATTGCTTGAATGGCCTGTTCACCTTCTGTTCTCCCATCAGGTATAAAAATACTGTCATGGGAAAAAGCTCGACTGCCCATAGAATAATGGGAGGATCTGGAAAAAAAAAACCAGTTAAAAAATAAATAAGCACTGCAACGAGTTTATGAGATTGACCCTTCATATCATAACTGCCCTGCTGTACAGATTTTCCCTCCCTCTTGCCTTCTACGTAAAAGTTTTGAATATTCTCAGAAGAGAGGTATCCAAACATGTTCAGTTATTAAAAGTTTAATGGAGGTGCACAATTCCTTCACATAAAGTCTTCCTCCTCAGAAGGATCTAGAGTTAGGTGTTTTTAATAGGCGTGCTGAGAAGTCCAATTGATTTTCCTCGTAAATCTCATATCTAAATGTTACTTTTAGGATACAGAGTAGGTGACTATGATGCACACATTACCGGACTACATATTTAAGAAAGCCCACATTGGTGCTTAGTCCCAGTGCTTGGGATCTGCTGTCATTCTTGGTCAAAGAAAATAGCAGGTGTTAAACAAAAGGAGCTCTATAACACAAAAAGAGGTAATACACTGTAGTAGCCAACCTCTAAAAAGCTACCTCATTTAGCTGGTTACTCAGCTCTTCCTATCACCATGACTATGATTACACTGACTATAAAAGGTTATCATCAAACCCCTGAACTGCTAAGAAGCTTATTGCACCAACCTGAGTGGCTTTGATTAGCAACAAAGAGCAAGAAATGCCTGTGTGTTGTTGTTAAACTGAATACTAATGCCAAGAAGGAGGATGCATCATGAATGACCTAGTTATATGGCTCTGATTGAAATCCACAAGCAAAGGGATTAAAAAAAAAATTGTGAAGAAAATGTAGAATTAAAAAAAAAAAAAAAAGGGAAAAAAACCTAGGCTTGTGGGTTGTTACTTCGGAGTTTGGGGGCATTCTGGGGAAAAAATGTTTGAGTTTGAAAGTCATGTTTTGTCTCACCTAGAATATTCCATGGTAAGTGAAAAGCCAGTAATCTACAAACGTGATAAAAGCCACAGTACAAAACCCCTGGACAACTGAGACATCTTAAATCTCTCCTTTTAATAATCTGTTGACAACTCTATAGAACCTATTTATAGCTTCAAAAAAAAAAAAAACAATCTGGAGAAAAAAAAAGGGTTTGTACAGATCTAACCAAAACAACCTTCTACATTTGATAAAATCATTATAAACAAATATTTCAGCCACAGCAAGGAAGATGATACTTGCGGAGAGAGGTGTAAGTAAAACAACAAGAAAAATTAAAGTTTCACATATTTAAGAAAATCAGTATATTATCTTTTTCTGCCTTTTAAAATGTACTAATTTTTCATGAAGTGTTCATGATATTTCTACTCCTACTTTGGAAACAAATATGTTTGGAATGTATTTATTACACTTTCATTTTTTTCCTGGGATATCAACATACTCTTTTTAAGTAAAAACAATAATCTTTTCTTACCAAGGAAGACTTGTTATATAGGGTTATATTATCCTGTTGAAACAGATTAGATAATAAACTATTTGTGACTTTTATAACAGAATTTCTTAGAGGTAACATGAAAACAACAGGAAAAAAGCCCCCTAAACCCTCTCTCTCTTCCTAGTTTATATATAAAACTTTTGCAATCCACTCACAACATATTCCAATCTTTTGAGTGAACACACAGAGCCATCTAAATCATTTTTTCTTCAATATAATCACAAACTAACTGAAAAACTACTTTTTATCCAGAATTAATATTTGAGCAACATGCTTCATTTGAAACAAACCAGCACACAATCAGGCAAAGAGCTGGTCAATATTTCACAGCAGTTTTAGCCATGAAAGAGAAGGAACCTTTAATTGATGCTACCTGATTGCCTCTGGATTCTAAAGGTCATACACCTTCTTTTAGAAATCTTTTATTAGAGAAACCATAAAAGCATATTTTTAAACCCTCTGCTAAAAAAGTTCCTGTACTGAATCTCTGTGACTCAACCTGTACACAGAACTGCGGTAAAATTGCATGTCACTGAAATACATCCACCTTCCTTGGCCACCCAGGAATCAGGCCGTGACCTACAATTTGAGAAATGTCCCTTAAACAGAGAGTGGTTTGAAGCTGAGAGAAAGTTGGCTTTTTTTTCATATAACTGTGTTGGACTGTTTGAACTGAAAGCTCTAGCATTGCATTCAACAAGGTGGGAGGGGGGGGGAGAAGTCTGTAGTCACAACCAAAACAGAGACAAATGTGTAAAATTTGGAAAACCAGTCCATGGGCACCCCTCCTGCCATTTGCATTGTTCAGTCTGTGAACCTGTTGCAGGTGTGGAAGGCAAGTCCAGTGGGAAATGGTGGTTTGTTAATTACCTTTGAACTGAGAGATCTGCTGAGGATGTATAATCCAGGTCATGCTGTGCTCCAGAGACGATCCTTTCTCAAAGATTTTTCCAGCAGGGCTGTGGCTCAGATACTTGTGGCTTTGTCTCACAGCTACTTGCTGTGCATACACCACTATCCTCCCCTTTTACTGTCCAGTGGGTTGGAGTTCTCATACTTAAAATCAGACACCTCATGTATATTTGTGTTGTCTGTTACAACTGATTAGTAGGCAAGGATTGCAATTCAGGCACAAAAGTGGCTTGTTTGCAAGTTGTTTTTGACCTCACTAATGAATTGCTAATATTTAAGTTGGGAGCAGCCAACTGGCAGCTTTGAACTAAACAGAATTTGCTAGCAGTTCAACCCCCAAATCTGCATTCGACCAGCTACAGGGATGCTCTGGTAGTAGGAAGTACCCAATAAAATCTGAGTCCCTGAAATGGAAGAAAAGAGCAACTTCTGAGGTCAGTGCTGGTAGACTGTCTGGGACAGGGCTGTGAGTGAAGATCTTCCCTCTCCTGCTACAAAGCTGAGGACACCTTTGGTGATCTACTCTCTCCTCCTGCCTATGAACTTATTAAATATCATTTAAAGCTTCTTTTGGGGACACCAGGTCACATGAAATAGCTTCGGAGCTCCATGTGACCTGCAATCATAAGTATATCACCAGTGAAAGTCCAACCCTACCTCTGACAAGTGCCCACAATGGTACCAGTGGCAGGTACCAGTAGCACGTACAGCATTTCTGACATTCTCCCAAACACCAAACTGCTGTCTCTCTCCTTATTACATGGCATCACATATTTCTGTTTTGTAGAGCTTAGGCCAAACATATCTGAAAGGTTTTGTCCATTTTTGTTTTCTTATTAACTTGCTAAAACAAACATACTCCAAATTGTCAGAAGACATGAAACAGTCACAGGAAAACTTGCAGTGCATTAATTCAAGATTACTCTCTACTGTATCCCTTTGAAATGCTTTGCACATATAGTGAATATTTCAGAATTGGGTGAATGAGCAATTCTGCTAGCCACATGTCCAACAACTGGTAAAAATAGTTTAAGAATTTTGCTTAAAAGTCTTTGTAGGCTAAAGAACATAGGAAAAAATATTCACACATTGTAGTAACCTAGTTTCTTTTACAGGAGAGTTTAAATACCGTTTAAGGTGATTTCCAGGCTACTTGTACTTTCTGAAAGGTCTCTTATTTTACTCACTTGGAGCCCAAATCCTTTCACATCTTCCCAGCTGTGAATCTGACAGATTATATCACAAAGGTCCTTTTCCCCCCTCTTTTTTCACTTTCCTCATGTTCTACTTTTGGAAAGACTGAATTTCTTTTAAGTCATAATACAGTATGAATAATTAAGCTTCCTTCACTGCTACCAGCATTCCCATCTTTGAAGTTTTTCTCAGAAGTCTTTATACGAAAATATCCTCACAATACACATCTACAGTCTGTGCTCCCTTCAATTAAAAGGCATGTCAACATCAGGGGTGGATTTCAATAGATTCACGGTATGACAGAGACCCAGGCTACAGTCATAGCCATGGCTGAAGGTATTACAGCTTCAAACTGCCATATCACTTCCAAGAAATTTGGGAAAACAGTGCCATCAGTTTATGAGCACTTCTGTTGATAATTCTGATGATGACACTTCAGAGGCTGTTTGTACTGAAAATAATTGAATCATCATCTGACTCACTTTCAGAAACCTGACTAAATTACATGAATTATGGATGTGCTATATCAAAATATGAAGCACTTTTAGCAAATCCTTAAAGATGTTCTCTCTGAAGATGTGTTGCAACCCAAGGATCATGTTCCAGTTTCAGCTGCAATACACAAATTTTCAAATAATTTTCTCATACTCAGAGCAAAGTTAAATTGCATTTGCTCTCAGAGTTTTTGTTGCCTCACCTGTGTCCATCTTCAGGTACCTGAAACAGGTTGGAATACTTGGTTTCACAGCAACACTAAAAACTTACTTTTCACCTTCTTTGGTTAGGATGAAATTCTCAAGAACTACTACATTTTTGAGAATGTATGATGGGCTCTGTGGTACATGCAGGTTTTAGCATGAAAAAAAATATACCAGGATTTGTCTTTGTCTTGAGTGTGCCCCAAGAGCTTAAAAGTATAGCAGAGCCAACCATCCCACAGGATTTTTACAAATAATGACACCAGTAGTGTCAAAGGGATGGGAAATAGAGCAAGACACAGAGTATGAGGACCCCACCACATCCTGACCATGGAGATGACAGGACTCCTAGCCCAGATTTAACAGTATTTAGCTGTAAAAGAAGTTGCCTCAAATACACATTGCCCCTAATTAGGTTTCTTCTGCATAAAATTAATATGCTTCTCAGACTCATTGTTAAATTCAGTGCTGCTGATTCATTTTCCTGGAAAGGGAAAACATCTGTTTCATTTCAGTCTTCTGGAAGAATCACAGAAAACCACTGGTAAAACAGATTACATAGATATTGGAGTATCACATCCATGTATGAATTTGGCTTGCAAAAACCTCTGTGCAGTAAACCCCTCTTACTGTTACTCATTCTTGCTAAGGTATCTGTGTGTGCTAAGAAATTAGAAAATGTGAAACAATTCCCTTACAGTAAAATAGAACCACCTTGATCCTACAGGTGAAGTCTTACTCCTCTTGCATGAAGACCAACTGAGAGAGATTGCTCTTTGGACCCT